AATTAAATGAAAGATATTTAAATGAATGGAAAGAGATGTAGTGAATATATAAGAAATGTAAATTGTATATTTAATAATAAGAAATTAACAGTAGCCACATGGAGGTCATTAAATATAAAAAGAAATGCATTCCTCCAAGTAGTAAAGATGCAAGAAGGAGTAACTATGACAGGAAATATTAAATCTAAAATACTCAATTGTGATGCTTTAAAATATTGTAAACATTATCCTAACACAATTGCATCTATTAGCCATATTTTGTTATGATGTAATGAAGAATAATCAAATATTAAAACACGATTATGTATGTAAACAAATATATAAACATATATTAATTACCCATTTTATTGATTTTGATGAAATAGATTTTAATGCCCCTCCTAAGTGTATTAATAATAATGAAATGGTTATAACTTACAATAAAGATTTATTGGTTAGTGACCATTCGTTTAATGCTAGAAGACCAGATATATATTATCAAAATGTCAAAGAAAAAAAAGGATATATTATTGATGTCGCCATATGTCAAGATAGAAACATCGAATTAAATTATATTTACAAAATAAATAAATACAAAGAATTACAAGAGAAGTTAATACAAAGTAGAGAATTAACTTATGTACAAATAATACCTGTAATATTATCAATCAATGGGTTGATACATAAAGAATCAGTAAGAAGATTAAATTCACTAAAATTACAAATCAACTTCCCCAAAATACTACGAACAATCATTATTAAAAACATGAAAGACTTAATGTTCTACACATTCAACACTGGCAACACATTAGAAGAGGAACCTTCTAATTCTCATATGTTAGAAGTGAACTCTATTATAGAAATAGACCATATTGAAGAAACTGAAACAATCACTTCTCAATATGAAGAAAATCCAATTATGGATATATCTATTATTTGATATTTTTTTTTTTTTTTTTTTTTTTATTTCTATTTTATTTATTGTTTTTTGTCCTTTTTCTATTATTTTTCTTCTTCTTTAAGTTTCATCCATCCTATCAAATATTCCTTCTCCTCTTTTAACAGCTTCTGAATATGTTTCATCTGGTTTTATTTCAAATATTTCATTCATAAAACATAAGGGTGTGATAGTCAGTGGTGAACAAAGAACAATAGAAAATAAAAGTAATAACACTTAATTAACTATTTTTATTTTAAAAAGAGAAACAAAATTTACAAAACCAAAAGCATTTGTTTATAAAGTTCGTACCAGAAAATCTGGTAGTCTCTTTTAGTACGTGTTAGGAGTAGCTTGAGGTGGCGTTGTGTCTTCAATTAATATAAAATGATTAGTGTAAAGTTTTTCAATATTAAAAAAAACAATTAATAGAACTAAAAATAATATTCAGATTCTATTAACCTGATATTAATGGAAAAATTAATCAAAAATGACATGATAAATAATGTGAAAAGACAACTTCTTGAGTTGAAAGAGGCAATAAAGAAAGGGCAGTCTCAGGTTGATGAAGAAATCGAAAGTTCAATTGAAGGGAGAGCTGAAAATACTGAAGTTATTATTGAACAAAAAATAAAAGGAATTGAAGAGATGAAAAGGGTTATTGAAGAGTGTGAAAACGTTATTCATGAAGCAAAGGAGATGATACAAAAAGAGGAATTTAATTGTTTTGTTATGAAAAACAAGAAAGAAGAAGAACTTTCCAAAGAAGAAGAGTTGAACAAAATAAAAGGATATGCCCAAAGTCTTAAAAGAAAAGAAATTCATGAAGAGTTTGAGGACTATGACGAGTTTGTGATTGAACAAAATAAAGACAGAAAAAAAGAAGAAGAAAAAATTTTGGTTAATCAACTTCAAAATGATTTGATTGAACAAGCACTTACAAAGTTACAAGAATGGAGTAATAAAAATGAGGTTCATGTTTTATTTGATAGTGATTTAAATGAATGGAATGAGTGCCAAAGTACAGAACTATTTAATGGACCAAGTATATTTCTATTTATATTTGATGAAAATAAAAATGCCTTTGGGTGGTATTTTCCACAAGGGATAAATGAGAATGGAACTGGAGAATATCAAGAATGTTATCTACAAAATGGAACAGAAAAAGTTTTTGAAATACATAAAATAAAAGAAAAAGAAATTAAGGTTGGTAGAGGTGATTGTGTTATTGAAATAAAACAAGGAAATAATATCGAAACACAAATAAACTATAACTCAACTAAGAAAATAATGTCTTATTGTTATGAATCAATGTTTAGTGTAGAGCGTATTATTTGTATTCAAATGTTGTGTGATGAATGTTTAGATGTTATACAAGATAACTTAGAACAGTTACAAGAATGGAGTGGATTATATGAATGTAGTAGATTATATGATACATTAGAAGATGGTGAAAATGAAGGAGAAATGAAGGAAAGAATAAATGGAGAGAGTAATATATTTATTATTTGTATAGATGAATATGGAAATGTGTTTGGATGTTTTATTGAAGCAGAGGTAGAAGATACATTACTTCTAAATTCAAGAAATCACTTTTTATTTGCATTTGATAATACTGAAGATTTAAGTGGACATCCTCATCAATGGAAAATGAAAAAAGAGAGATTGGGGAAGTTAGTTTTAGGAGATAATGATATGTTGTTTTCATGTGGTGATGATGTTTCTCCATTTGGAATGTTAATAATTTTTAAAACTTCATTTAGAAGTAGTTTTTGTGCAAGTCTATCTAATGTGTATGAATATATTAAAGATGATGATTTAAATGGTACATGTTTTAATGATGAAAGGAGAGACACTTTTAAAGTACAACGAGTTATTGTACTTAAAATGAATTAACAAATATTATAATTTGAATAACTAAAAAAATTAATACATAGTAATTTGTAAAAAGAAGAAATTGATATTAAATGTTAAAACGAATTAAAGTAATTATAATATTAAACATTTTCTTGGAGTTTTAGGAGGATTTTTTTCTAATATTCTTTGAACTAATATAGAAAATGCTTCAACAACATTATTATTTGTTTTTGCTGATGTTTTAATCCAAGGAGCATTGATTGATTCAGCAAATCTTTTTGCTTCTTTAATGTCAATTATTAAATCTAAATCAGTTTTGTTTATAACTACTACAACAATGCAGTCCTCTTCAGATTTAAAACGTCTTATTACATTATAAAATTCTGGAAGTTCATTTAGAGTAGAAGGACTAATGCCACTACAAACTAACAAAGCCCCATCACTACTTCTCACATACAACTCTCTTAATGTTTCGAAGAGGTCACTTCCACTAGTATCTTGGATATTTATAGTACAAATAACGTCATTAATAATTTTGCTACAATGCTCTAAGCTATCCGTTGATGGTTCGTATTGAGTTATAAAAGTAGAATTAATATACCGATGAATTAGTGCAGTTTTTCCAACACCACCAGACCCAAATACAACAATATTAATTGTTGATGTTTGTTTTTTCATTTTATTTATAACAAATTTTTTCAGTTTTGTTGAGATTTTTTTAATAAAATCCCTTTTTCATTTTATATATTTGTGTTATATAACTTTTGTTTGAGGTTGAATTATTTAGTTGAATAAAACAGTATTTTTAAGAGATTTTAAATACTGAGAGATGCAGGCTAAATAATTGTTAAATTTAGGATTGACAACTACATTAATTACAAGTCTTTCTTTAATATCATAACTCATCAAAATCTCTGAAGCATTATTGGAACTACTTTTCAAGAAAAAAAAAGAATAACAACAGACAAAAGGGGATTTACTGTTAAAACCAGGCATGAGATTGGTATTGAATTACTTAACTACAACGTAAAAATTAATTAAAAAAGATTAATTTAAATAAATGATAAAATAAATAATTAAAGTATAATTTACTTATAGTTTTATAAATAAATTCTATTTATAAAACTTATAAAACCATAATAATCATAATTAATACAATAAATTATGTTTTAGAAATAAGAAAAATAAGAAATAGAATTAAGTGATGACATGTGTTGAACAATCTCTGAGTTCTGACGACAACTTACCTTTGTCTGATACTTCTTTTTTGAATTAAAAGAAAACATAAAATAACAAATAAAAAAGTTAAAAAAAATATAAAAACAAAATTTAAAGAATAAAGTTATAATTAAAGTTCATCACAGATTAGAAGAACCAAATTCATAAATCGAGAGAAATCTTCTCTTTTAAAATCATCATTCTTCACGTTCATAGTCTTTTGATAGATAGAACGAATTAATCCAAGAAAACTTACACAACCAACAAACTGACTTCGTTTGATCTTTTTAGAAAATAACCCACGTGCATTAGCTCTAATTAATGCCTCACAATTCTTTCGAGTAATATCAAATCCTAATTGAGGGAGTGCAGCCATCATTTCATTTAAATCCATTGTACCACTATGATCAGCATCAAAATGTATGAACGTTTTATCTACCAAATCAACAAATTTCATTAATGCTAAATATTCATAAAATCCAATATTTCCAGATAAGTCCATATCAAATATTTTCATTAATTTCCTACAAGTATCTTCATCAAGTCTTAATCCTCCAGGAAATTTAGCTGATTTAAGCTCATTTAGTTCAAGTGTCCCTGATTTATCTTTATCTGTCTTTTCAAACCATTCTTGTAATGGTCTGAATTCTTCTATTCTTAATGACATACATAA